TTTTTTTTAAAAGAACACATCCTCGCATAAAAATTACTAATTTGAGTGAAAAGTTGTGTTTTTAATAGATATCTTTAACATAATATACATGTTATTAAGAACAAACAGCAGGAGCAGTTGAACATGTGTCTTGTTTGTAAGCAAAGACAAGTGTACTTTCTCTGTAACAAAAAGTGACATTGTTTTGATAAATATTTTTAGATCCCAGTGCAAATTTTCAGACAAAAAAAACCCAATAAAATGCTTTGCAGAGCGCAGCTTCATATGACCGCTGACGTAAAACCCAAAACAGTTGGGGCAAGTATGGACACAACATTCAAGCTTGATACAGCTCTGTATTTGAATTGTGATTAAATATTTGACACAGCATAGGTTTCTGACACAGAATGTATGTGGTCTAAGAACTTAAAAAAATTGAAATTGGACATTTACCTATTATGGTCCAATATCCAAGATCTTTATACATAGTTATTTTCAGCATATCAAAGAACCCCAATAATTCAATTTTTTAATGAAATCAAACAAATTTAATTTTGGACCCTTTGGACCTTAATGTCGACCAATTTCATAATGGGGCCCAAAATCCAAATACATGTTAGACCCAAGAATTCAATTTTTAATAAAATCAAACTAATTTTAATTTTGGACCCTTTGGGCCTTAATGTGGACAAAATCAAAAACGGGGCCCAAAATCCAGAAATCTAAATACATGGTTAGATTCAGCATATTAAAGAATCTCAAGAATTTAAGACTTTGAATTAAACCCCATTGAAATTGGTCAAGAAATACTAGTAAGCAATGTTTACAAAGTATTAGAAAAGTTTTTGTTTTTGGCCTGTTTTTCCAAAATGGTTAAGGCGATAACCCCCCAAATTTATCTCAACCTTCTTTTTTTGGTATGGAACCTTGTGTTACATTTTCATAAAGATCCATAGACATATACTCAAGTTATTGTCCGGAAACAAGAAAATCCTTGGTTTTTTTAGCCCCTAATTCCGAAATGGTTTGGGACATTACCCTCAAAATCAATCCAACCCTCTTTTTGAAGTATGGAACCTCTTGGTACAATTTTATAGGGATCCATACACTTTCACACAAGCTATTGTTTTGAAACAAAAAAAAACTTGTTTTTGGCTCTAATTACTAAACAGTTAGGACAATGGTATTGTGTTTATAATAATAATTATTAAAGTATTAAGAACTTACAATTTGTTTCAATTTTGTTCTTAATATAGACATGATATTGTTAAACATCTAACCCCCTTGTTTTATTAATTTTGTATTTACATTGTGTCATAGATCAAATTTATTCGTTCAATGTATGTTCACTTGTTTTTGTTAATATGTCTTTTGATTGGGTTAAGCCATTTCAATTGATATTTGATAGTGTGTCTTTCCATGTTGTGATGTTACACTATTGTTTCAGGTAGGGTGAAGGTTGGAGCTATTTAAACGTTGAACCCCGCCACATTCTATATGTGCCTGTCCCAAGTCAGGAGCCTGTAATTGAGTGATTGTTGTTTGTTGCTGTTGATCATATGCATTGTTTGTTTATTGTTTTATACAGTTATTGTGTTGCTCTGTTGCACCACTGTCCCAGGATTAGGGGGATGGTTGGGCGCCCACTATCATGTTTAAACCTGCTGCATTTGTTTGCACCTGTCCTAAGTCAGGAACCTGATGTTCAGTGGTTGTCGTTTGTTGATGTGGTTCATAAGTGTTTCTTGTTTCTCGTTTTTTATATAGAATAGACCGTTGGTTTTCCCGTTTGAATGGTTTCATGCTAGTTATTTTTGGGGCCCTTTATAGCTTGATGTTCGGTGTGAGCCAAGGCTCCGTGTCGAAGGCTGTACTTTGACCTATAATGGTTTACTTTTACAAATTTTACTTGGATGGAGAGTTGTCTCATTGGCACTCATACCACATCTTCTAATATCTATATCATGTATATAGACACATTTGCACACATATAACATATACTAATATTAAAACGTACATTACAAAAAGGAAAGACAGCATCGTTGCGATGCAACAATTGACATTGAAAAAAATACTATTTATTTTTTTTAGGCCAAATCCCAACCTTCCTATTGTGGTATCGAACCTTGTAGTACAATTTCCAAGAGATCCATACACTTATTCTCAAGTTATTGTCTGGAGACCAAATGTCTTTGGACAACGACGACAACATCATACCATTACACGGCCATCAAAATTTTGCGGTCATATAAAAACTAGAGTAACAGATTGCTTTTGATTTTAAACGTCCTCTTTTAATTTTAGTTTTCAATGCCTTTCAGCTTCATTATTTATTTGATTTTGCAACTGTTTTGTTCAAGCCACTGATGTCTCATGTGTGGATGATATATAGACGTGTACTCAATTATAAGCCTTGTATCTTTGTTCCGTTTTATTCCATTGAAGATTTACCAGTAAAAGAAATACTCATTTATATCACATGTCTTCTCTTCTTCTTCTTCTGTAGACGACAACATCATACCATAATTAGGCATCAAGTAGGCCTATTGTAGGTAGGGGCATTATTGATTTTCACATGTTTTTACATGTCTTAATCACTACTTCAAATTTTATGACCAAAAGTAAGTGATCTTGGGTAATAAGATAAAATTGTATTACATTATAATTGCAATAATCAATTAGGTTTTCTTTAATGTAGTTTATTATTTTCATTATGTATATGATTGCATGAAAAATTTATATATTGGATAGTTAGAAAACACATGTTATTGATTATTATTTTTATGGAAAACAAAATTTATACAAATTACTGAAAAAAAGAAAGTGGGTTCATTGATTTTGATCATAAAATTTAACTTCCAGTATGATTCTAAAATTGATATGAAAAGTAATAAAAAGGTATTCATGATTACACTTGACTTTTGCAATGTAATTGATTCAATTATGATTACTTGTAATATAGGGACCCCAATTACAGTTAGTTAGGGGTACTACGTGTACAAGTAATCTTTATTCACTTGGAGTAAAAAAAATATACTTATATAAGTTAATTATAATGTTTGAATAATCTCCCCTTAATTTTCTCAAAAATTCACTTGTATAAGTAAATTTTTTTTACAATCCCACAAAAATTCTCAAGTTTTGAGATGTAAAAACATGCCTTTAATGATTTTTCCCAGGTTAGCTCATAATTTTTTATTAGATTTCAATGTTTCATCTCATTAATTCAACAAAGAAACTGATTGCGCAAAGATCTTAAGTATTTGCGCATAAGGCCTTCAAAAATTGCTCCTTGGGGGCTTGTAAATGAGCAGCGTTCTGAAGATAACAGACAAATTAGATTTTCATTGTCCATGAAATTACACTTAAATGATTAGTTAAGACATGTGCAAAGGACAGACAATTTAAAATTCTATTAGAGCAAAGAAGTCCTAAGAATTCAAGGAAAGAAGATAGGATGACGTTTTCACTTATATAAGTAAAAAAATCTGAATGTCTAAGGGACATAACTAAGCCAATTTTTTTTTATCTATACAAGTAAATAAAATACACTTGAATGTATAAGTATTCTACAAATTTACTTACTTAAGTATTTTAATATTACTTCTTCAAGTAAATAAAAATTCTTTGTACAAGTAGTACCCCTGACTGACAGTAAGAAAATCAATAAAATGAAGAAAAAAAAATTAAATTACTAACATGACTAATGAACTCAAAATCGTTGAGTTTTTTTTTCTAACTTTTTCAGTTTCCTGCATTTGCGCAGAAATCTCTTTCTTTCTTCCGGTCTCATTTTTCACGGGACTTTGAGTAAAATATAGGAAGATGCATCATATTGTTTCCAGCAAATTTGCTGTTTTTGGATACGGAACAAAAATGCCATTTAAACAATTAACATAAATTTCTTACATTTAAAAATGAGTCTGGAGTTTGATCAACATACTATTTTATAGCAAACAAAATGTGCTCACTTGGGAAACTTACCTGATCAATTAACTTCAGATTTCAGTATCTGATAAGAATAACAAGCCGACTTGGTATCTTAATGCTTTGCTTTGTTTACATTGAAAATGACGTCACAACTAAAATCCATAAACAGGACCAACATCAGAAATGTTTCCGTATTTTCATTTATTTTTCAACAGATTCTGTAGCGAAAATATGCTTGAATTCAAAAAATAATTTATACGGACTTTGTCCTCTTTCACAGGTAAAACCTGCCTCGTATTAAAAATTGCATGAGTGTTGATTCCAGCTGATTATGATTACTGTCTGATTACGATTAACCTGTTCCTTGGACACGTCTTGCTCTTAACCCAGACATGCAGGACACATTATTCTGATGCGAGCAACCATTGTTAGCTCTAACTACCCAATGCTTAGAGCATAGTTGACAAGCAGAAAATAACCAGTGCGAAGAAAACCGCGAACAGTTCCTGCACTGTGTATCAATACATATACAGACACACATGGCACAAAATCTCCTGCACTTGAGTTGAGCATGCTACTACAATATGAAAAAGAAGATGTGGTATGATTGGCAATGAGACAACTCTCCACAAGAGACCAAATGACACAGAAATTAACAACTATAGGTCACCGTACGGCTTTCAACAATGAGCAAAGCCCATACCGCACTGTCAGCTATAAAAGGCCCTGAAATGACAATGTAAAACAATTCAAACGAGAAAACTAACGGCCTAATTTATGTACAAAAAATGAACGAATAACAAATATGTAACACATAAACAAACAACAACCACTGAATTACAGGCTCCTGACTTGGGACAGGCACATACATACAGAATGTGGCCACTGAGGCACTCAATTTGTCAACGCACACTTGTTCAGCCTAATTTTTCCTGGTGGAAACAATATTCAAGAATATTTCTTCCATTTGGAAACAATATGATAAACAGAATGACAGATAAAACTTTTATTAAAAAGAACTTCTATAATAATTTCCCTGACACAACTTGACGACAAATAATTAAAATAACTAAACACCATCATGTACTTACCGATGAAAAGATTGAGAAAACTATTATAAACAACTTCCACAATATACTGGGAAATGTTATTTCATATCAGCATGAAAATGTAAGAAAACGTCTAAAAATTAAAAAAAACGTTTCATGGGCGCAGACATATTGGATCCCGAGGAAGTCTCGTACATCGACTTCCGTATGTTTTCCGTATGCGCATGCGTATTCATACAATTTTCGGACGAATTTACGTGTGGAGTCCTGCAAGTGATAATATTTTCGTTGATTTAAGACATATTCAAATGGTTTACAGGTAAAATTGAAGAGAGGAATAATGCATGACCTAGAAATTTTAGATTTAAATTGGAATAATTGCTGTTTTAGTGCGGTATTTTCAAAATGAATTGCAGACAGCTTCATAATGGCGGTCTGTGACATTATAAATCAATGAATGACTTCATGCAAAAATTAACATTTCATTAAATTTCAGACATACTTTCGTATGTCATATAACTTTTTACATGTAAGAGTATAACGTGTGTAAGTGTGAAATGATTTATGTTTTGACCTTTTATGCAAAGTTGGACATAAATTGACCATTATCTTTCTGGTGACAGTTTGACAGTTGTGGAGTGTATTTTTGCAACCCATCCCTCAGGCAGACAGCCAAAGTTATTCAAGATGTAATGCTTAATGAATGTGTCCAATTTTGTTGATGTAATTGAAAATGAGACTCATGCATTTCTGATAATCTCACATGATTATCAGTTGTTTTAGTGTTCATTTGTTTTGATTTTTTATTCTGATTATGATGCCAAAACTTAATTTTCATGTTTGTTCTGCTTGTCAACCACAATGTCAGGTGAATCTTTAGGCTTGCACCTTTCATTTTAATCCAGTTTTTACAGTCGGATATGTATTTTGATATAGCTATATATGATTTAAGAACAGTGAGAATGTTTGAATATCCTGTCCTGATCCTAAGGTTAACTTGACACTACTTGTCTCTTGAATCTTGATACTTCTTGTAATGGCACTATGTTGTTCAAAGCATTATTTCATGTGACGTAAGGTAAACTTGTTTAACATGTTTCGCACATGATCTAGATTTAGGGCTTGCCAGCTCTTGAAATCACCCTGTTCTTACAATATCATATGTTTCACCTACAGTATGAATGATACATGTACAATACTATAGTATATAGATAACATGAATAATATATTGAGATGTCCAATTTATAAAATTAACTTTAGGAGACCATACATGTATATAGAACAAGGACGCAAACAACTACATGTATGTAACTGTACAGCCTCCATAATATGTAACAATGCTGAAAACAGATACATTATATCTGTGGATTAAGGTCATAGCAGCTCCGGTTTTTGGATTTATTGTTTAAGTGTGTGTATGGATTTTGTGTCAAGAGTTTATACATCAAACAGTTTGGTTGGTACTGTTCACCTGAATAGGAGTTTGAATTTACATTGCAAAAAATCTTTTGAATTTCAGCAAATTCCTTTAGGGATTCGAAGATCAGAGGTGTTTTTGTTTTCAGTACAAATCCCTATGCAAAAATCATGACAATGTTGAGCTCTTTTTGGGGAAATATTTTCATGGATTTTTCTAGCATTCCACAGGGTTTGGTATTTGGACCCTTTCCCTATGGCACAACCCTTACATTTTTCCCAATTTCAGAAGGAAAAATTCACAAATGAGATTGTATGGACATCTGCCCGTTGAATGGAAAATTGTTAAATTACCTTTTCACCTATATTATTCATGATAGCGATACTCATTTTGTTCAACCTTTAGCTTTATGCCGAAAATCAATAACAATTAATGTGTGAAACCGAGTAAAATCATATCCGACTGACAAAATACAACTTTGACAAATGGCCGTTATATATAAACCAAAAATGTAGACAAATGCAAAATCGGATCAGATTCTGGAGGCGGATAAAGCTAAATTAATTCTGGGTTTATAATTCTGAAACTCGGAAGTTATTTTTATTCACAAATGTTCATGTCAAAATTCAATAAAATGTGACATTACTTTTTCTTTTTTTTATCTCTAAAACAATTTGATATCGGATGTTTTTATAATGTAAACACATAACTACAGATCTAGGATGTGATTTCTTCTCAATTTTAAAGGGACGGAAAAACCTGGAAGGGCAAAATGCAAGTGAATTTAGAAAAGTGTTAGCCAGCTTTGCCAATTAAGAAAAATCTTTTTTAGGCTATCCCTGATTTTATTATTTTTAACTTGCTGTCTTTGAAGGTGTAAAAAGACGATAAATTCTTATCACAAGTGCGCTTTAGCCCTTTCACCGATAGCCAGCCTGACAGAAGCTTCTCTGAGACGATGGCTTCTCTGGCTATTATGACACAAGTGGGAGATCTTCATATTAAATATCAATTAAAAATTGTCTGTAGTTATTTATGTCTTTATATTATTCACTTACACCATGGACACAGTTTTGTTAATGTTTTGATCATTTTTTCTTCATAAAAAATCAAAATTTGCAAATTTTCGACATTAGAGAGTTGAAATTCGACTTTTTGACCCAAAATCGTAATTTTTTAACCCAAAACAGCAATAGTTTAAAAAACTCAACAAGGTTGTACAAATTCCTTACACTGAACAATGTCCATTCCAAGTGTTTTTGTACATAAAAAGGCATTTTATGTCAAAAAAGTATACTAGTCTGGCTTCAATTCTTCCATATGCATATTCTTTCAAAAAAAATGTTTCCTTATTTCAAATTCTAGTAAAATTCGTAAATTTCATCTGATTTTGACACGGTTTTCAACAAACGGAAGCACCATGTTTACACTTTCATCCGGGTATTCAACAAGAAAGATAACTTGTGTTTCCAATGTTTTTAGCAGGAAATGTAAAAGAGGTATTCGGCTTCCGGTAAACCGGGACTGATCGGCAGCTGTCTGAAGAAAGGGTTAAGAGATACAGTATTTTGCCTCGTCAAGTTTAAAAACAAAAAGGACAGAAAAATAGAATTATAAATTGCAATCATGTAGTTTCTTACTAAAATATTTTCAATAAAAAAGATAATTTCTAATAAACTATACACACTAAAACTCACATGTGGTATATTTGTTGGGTTTTCCCAATTTCATTTAAAATCGTGTGAAAAATTCCCCAAACTGCCCAGGGTCCTTTTCAAAATGCCCAGAAAAAAACCCTGATTTAACAAGTTATCACACCTCAAATGAGTGAAATTTACTACAGCATTGTAAGATACAGGTGAAGCAGATTATCCCATTCAAATTTTGAAATACTTGGCGTTAATTAACAAGTTTAACCATAGTTTGCAGATCTACAAATGTATGTCCAATTTCAAAATAATTCTCAAGACCAGTAATATTCATGATATTGATCTTCCTTGTGTCATGATTTCGATGATTTCAAGAAAAGATTTTAGTCGTCAGTATTTATCATGTTTATGTTGATAACCATGATAACTGAATGTCAGCTTTCAGAATTTGAAACATTTATCCCGTTGAGAGGATAAGCTTAATGAATGACCCATGTGAGGAGCTCAAGGACTCTTAAGTATTTATAGGACTTCATGACAACTTGTCCCGACATGCCCGAGGGGCCAGATAATCTGCCTGCTAAAATTCTGGATCTGTATATGCAGTTGACGAAGGGAGACCGGATATGAAAATTCCACTTAACTATGATCTGATCTGTATAAAAATGATGTTTAAAATTAAATGTATGATGAAAAATTTCTCAGTTAAATCATGTCAATGGGCTATTGCATTTTAAAAAAAGGGAACATGTAGATAGAGTCCACTCCTGTATGAAATAAATCCATTATTCAGGATATTTATTTTCCCTAACCACAATATTCTACAATATACATGGTATCAAGAAGGCAACTTTTCCTTCTATTCCAAATTCTACTCAACTGTATCACTATATCATGTATGCAAGACTCGTAGTCTTATATGATCATTTACCAATTCAATATGTTAATTACTAATGTGTAGCAATATTGCTATACCTTAGTATTGCTGGACTATAGTTAATTTGATGAGATGATTATGTATTAATTCAAAGCTTAATAAAGTTTCAAATATCTCATATGCATGCATTCTTTATTAATAGAATGAGCTCCCAGTGGAAATCTATTCAATGTAGTTACAATGGCCATGGACTGGAATTGCAAATGTATTATTGATCTTGTAATAAATTGAAGTTAACCATGTTAACTGCAATGAACAATGATGAAAATCAATTAATTTGAAAATCAGTTAGGTAACTGAACAAGGAAATGTATCTTAATCCATGGACAAGGACTTTCTACTTAGGTATAAAGTATTTGGCAGTGTTCTCCCCAGGATTTTTGGATAGCACCAGGGTAACGCGTGTCAAAATGATTTGTACAATATGCTGTGTCGCGTTGCATTGCTTTTTTTTTCTTGTTAGTTTTTGTGTCATTACCTTTTTGTCTTTGTTTTGTTTACTGTGTTATGTAGACTTTGGGTCAAAAAATTACTGGTAAAAAAAGAAGTAAATCAATAAACAGTTTGTATACTTTAATTTCTTTTAAGAATAAATAAAAGAAAGCATTATTAGTCTTTAAACTTAAGTCACTTTTTATATTTTGATCAAGCCAATTTGTCCTGATACTTGTAGTTACACTACACTTTCCCCATTTTTGTTAGATTACACCATAACAATTAAATTTAAACAAGATTAAATTTTAATGCAGAACCTCTAGTAAATTAAAAACTATTTTCCATAGCTTTAGACATGATTCTTTTAAACAACAATACAATTATTATTAGAATCATTATTGTGTTACTTGGTAGATAGACATGTAGAGTAAATTTATATCATCTATATGTACACCCACATATCATATCAAGCTGAGTGCCAATCAGTGTTTAAAGACTGGAAAGACATCAGTGACCAATTTGAAAATACTACCTATTTATTATAATATGTCTGTGCATTAATAAAAGTATGATTATCAAAAATAATTTGCAATATATTTTTGTTGGTATGTTCAAAGAAATTTTTTATCCTTAAGGTAACATTCTTATATAATTTTGCATTCAATTTGTACTTTATTTCTATTTTCAATGATAGATGATATTTTAGGAGCAATTATTTGTAATAAGCTAATTCAGGGGAAGTAACTCCAACACGTTTAAAATACGCAAGTTATTTATAACCAAAGGCTGGAGTAATAGAGTTAATTAACAAATTTCTGCTTGTCCTTCACAAGTCTGATCATTAATTATGATCTCTTAATTAATTAAAACACAAAAGAATCATGTACATCGATTAAATCCAATCATCAAGGTTAACCTCAAAAGGTAAATCGATCACGTGGTGTAAACAATCAAGTTGTTCGAACTGGTTTGAACTGGTCAATTTTCATCTGAAATTTTATACCCCACGGAAAAGGTTTAACAAGTCGTTTAAAACTTTACCGATTTACGATTTTTTTACCGAAAATTTTGGCACCACGGAGAAAAATTATACATCGCGGCAAGAACGATACCACCACGGTAGAAAATTATACATCGCGGGCCCGCGGTCCTTTAAGGGCCTGGGGAGAACACTGATTTGGTGTTTACTTTGATACCAGTTATACATGGTATATAGAAAATTAAATATTTATTCGATTATGTATATACATGTAATAGGTAAAGGTAAAGTTTTATAAAAGATCAAACATGCTATAATTTTTTTTAGAATTTTAAAGATCAAATGGACATGATGGAGATTTGCTGACATAACAGATTTGTAGATTGATCAATTTGGCAGGTTGGAGTTATCAGTGTAGGGTGGGCTGGTGGAAATGGAATGATTGATAGAATTTCCCTTAGCTGTAGTTTATGTACAGAAGCATATTTTTCTTATTAATTTTATTAATTATTTTTCCAGATCAAAATAAGATGTTCTGACATTACCGTGACCAAAAGACAGTAGGGGAAAACGTTGAACTATCATTAAGCAACCATGGTTTTATCTCAAAGACAAAGGGAGGAATTGTAAGTAAGGTGTCTGTTATGAGATAATAGACCAATCTCAATTTTTTTATGAATGATTACACTGGTTCAAACATCAGCGACCCCTGTAAATGACGTCATTGAACAATCTGTTCTTACTGTGCAGTAATACATGTAACATAAGCATTGTGACATCGAAAAAGTACAGGAAAATGCACAAATTTGAATGTCATCTATTTGCAAGTAATCATGACATGAAAAAATAACTACACAACTGATCTTAGCTATAAACATGATAAATGCTAGTTTTCAAAGAAGTATTCAAAGTAACCAGCAAACCACGAAAAATTCTCTGTGAAGGTATTGAAAGTGATATTAAAATATTTATAGGAATAATAGACAATAATTCTTATATGATTTGCATATTAGGGAATACGGTGATATGATTGGTCAAGAGGACTTCCGGTAGTTGTTCTTGACGTTGTTTATTTTTCGATAGACGACGTTGACCGAACTTCTTTTTGTAACCAATGTAATCAAGATGGCAGGGATAATAACACAATTCGTCTCGACGTTAAAATTATTTATTTTCACTTCGCATTAATTGTTAAATTAAATAATAAACACAAAACATTCATTTGAATGATAATAAGAGTTTTTGTAGTTTATTTTTTATCAGATAGCAAATTTCAGGGAGTACATATTTTTGCGTTAACCAACAAATATTTTCAAACGGCAGGCCAATTCAATGACACACATATACAATTTACGTGTGATAGAGGTTATGAGTGTGGAAAAATAAATTCCTTATCTCCAGTTTTAAAGAATTATAAGGATTGAACGCCTTAAGGCATTTAATCCTATAATAGTTCAGATAATATAACATTTATTATGTCTGTATGTAAAAATAGCAAATTATGAACTTGTTCTCATATGCATGCTCTTTTCAGGAATCGTGCAATAGCAGATTATTTAGCATCAAATGGATACCTCAGTGCTTTGTCTGAATTTCAAAAGGAAACCAGCATGGTGAGTTGTATTTATGAATTATCATAATTCTGAAAAGGAGAGGGAGTTTCTCAGCTAAATTCTCATCATAGCCCTGAGATGTGATGAAGACAAGAAACTTCCTCCAGTGGGAAAGACCATAAATAATCTATTTATGCATGTTATAGCTACTTTCTTAGGCAATGTCATTTGATTCTCACTCTTCTCTTGTGAGTAAAACTATCTCAGTATAGAAGCTTGAGATGTATTATTACACAGAAAGATCAAAAGAAAACTTCAGCAAAAAGGGACAATACAATGTACATACATGTATGTGCAGTAAAGTTACAGATATGTAGTTTTCTATTTGTCCAATGAAACCTGAAATTGCCTGTAATCAGTTTATTTCTCGTTTCTCAATTTAAGCTTGTAAATAAATTTAGTTTTTTTGATGAATTAAGTGTCTCAACTATAAAAAAGATATTGCAAACATTCTAGTCTTTCATTTTCATGTAATGATAGCTCATGATTAAAATATCTTATTTCATATATGTAAAAACTTGGGTAAAATATTTAAATATTGTTTTATTTGCAGCCTGGTGAAGTGGATAAAAAATATGCAGGATTATTAGAGAAGAAATGGACCTCCGTTATAAGACTTCAAAAGAAAGTAAGAGTGATTTTCGCTCATTTCACAACATAAATAGAAGGAGATAAGGGATACAGATGAATAAAACATCAACCCTACGAAAAAACCCATAAAAATACATTAAGACAACTTGAGGTCAACATAACAATGGACAAAACAAAGTGTCTATACATTACAAACCATATAGTTTTCACAAACATAATTCATATATGTCCACCTTAGATCTTTTCTTCGATGACGTATCAACAAAATTATCAAAGTGCCAAAATATATAACTTGGATATCAGTGAGAAAGAAAATATCTTTGAAGTAAATTGTTTGCAGTAATTTCTTTGATTTCAAACAATAGTTAGCTGTCTTATGAAAACACAGATAGTCCTTTGGAATGAAAATAACACATAATAATATTTTATGTGCACTTTTCTGGATTTACCTTCATCAGGAACACTCAAAATTCCCAAAAATTTAAAGCCAAAGATCTATTAGGCTTCAAACATAGGGAGCAATATGACCAATTCATCTAAGGGCAACTTTGGAAAGGAGTATAACGCTGGATTCCTAGTCTAATGATATTATTTCTTTCATTCATCAGTCAAGGGTGTAACTTGAATAAGTTATTAGAGAAAAATAACATACCTGTGTTATTACGGATACTTTCTCTTAATCTGTAGTTACTAGTAACATATGTTTGTTATCAGTTAAATGTACCATAACATTTTTTATTTTCAGTGGGCACTTGGGAATTCTTGAAACTTGTGCAGTAACTTAATACATAACTTTGAAAACTAATTTTCCAATTCAATTAATACATTTTTGATCAACCATGGTAAATCAATGAGACAAGGCTTTTAAGTGATAACTTAGCTGTAATAACAAGGCTTAGTTATTACAGGCATTTAACTTATTACATGAGACACTTGGGAATGACTAGGAAGCTTGCGCAGAACCTCATTACATGCTCTTATCATTATGTATTACAATAAATTAAAATACATTGTGATATATGTAGGAGAAAAGGCTTTGAAGAGATGTAGAGAAGCTGTAATAACACCCTTTAGTTATTACAGGCATATTTTTTCTGTAATAACATGGGTGTGTTCTGCATGATTGGCAAACTATGGGCTGTTATATCTTTCTAAAGTTTAATATACATAAAGGCTGTTGTCTGCTCTATGGTCGGGTTGTTTTCTCTTTGACACATTCTCAATTTCCATTCTCAATTTTAATTATAATATCAATAGAACCAGTACACAATTTAACAAAATAAAGGATGTATAATGCCCCTTTGAAACATGTAACATACATATGTTATCACAGATTTTGATTTTTTAGCCCTCAATAACAAATGTATGTTATTTTTCTCTAATAACTTATTTAAGTTAGACCCTTGACTGTTCATAGACATTTTCTCTGGTTTGATGCTCAATGAATTTCCTAAAGGATATAAATTACATAGCACCAAATATTTCTGTTTATTCAAAATTATCTAAAGGTTTATTTGAAGCTTGACCTTTAAATAAAATCTGTGCTTATACAAATAGATAAACCATTTGCACTGTTTATGTTTTTTAAGCTGAAAAATAGAGTGCTTATTTTAAACCATTTATTTCTAATCATCAAACAGAAAAACCATGCATATACTGTAAGTTCAGAAATAATTGTGAATATTGCGACAGGATAAGTTATCGCAAAAATAAAAACTTACATTTTTAATTTGATAGCATTATTTGTATACTTCATTTTCCTGAATTCACAATAACTAATCTTGCATTTTTGTCCATTGTTCAACAGTAGTAATAATAAATGCTTGCAATCATTTCTGAATTTACAGTTCTATATTTCATCTATCACTTAGGTTATTGATCTGGAAGGTAAACTTTCCGAAGCCGAGAAAGAATTTAATGCAGGAGGACCCACACGAGACAAAAGGAGCCCAACGGAATGGATCCCTCGCCCACCAGAACGATATTCTCTCAGTGGACACAGAAGTCCTGTAACAAGAGTTATATTTCATCCAACTTTTAGTGTAATGGTGTCCGCTAGTGAGGATGCCACTATTAAGGTAAAGTGGTACTGAAGACAAACTTTTTTGTTGTACATGTAGGAGCTGTGTCCTCCTCAGGGCCTGAGAGCACCATTGTAGCTTTATTTTATTTTATGAATGTGAATTCATTATTATACTTCATGGATAAAGTGGTTTTAAAGTTAACCACAAATTTATGTGGCTGATATTAAAACTTTGGGAAAACCATGAAATCTTGTATCCATGAAAATATCGTTTTGCCTCAATCCAAAGTTTAAAAGTGGAACTATAATTTTAGGGAAATTGTGCTACATGTACTTGAAAGACTTGGGAAGACTACTAACTTGTTCAGATTATATGACTGCAAATATAAGATTAAGCAATTGTTTTCTGTCCATTTCAGGATATTTGAAGGAAATTCATTATGTGATCTATTAAGATTAGAGTGGATAAATTCAAAAGAACATTCTGTTCCAGTATGTTCTTTTTGAAGGGCCCAATTTGGTGGTGTTACATCTTACAAAATCTATCCAAATTATTTTGCAAAGAATTTCGCTCAAACTGGTTCTAGTGGCCGTCTTAAACTTGCAGTGATGTGAGCGTTTTTTTGCACTCTGTTGAAGTCCTCACTGTGACTTAGAGATGAAAAACAGCAATACAAGCATTGTTCCTTTGCTTTTTGTGTGTTTTTTGCTGTGCATGTACTGATTTTGTGTCATGGATGGATACCCCATATCCTTTGTTTTTCTATTCTACCAATCTAAAACGAATTTTGTATTTATAATAATTATAACTGTTTCGCTACAATAAATCACAGAATCATAATTTTGCTTTCCTTATTAACTAGTTGTAAACTAGTCATGTTAAAAATCTTGCTTAGCGAGTCTGTGTAGTTCAAAGCAGGCCTCATGTTTATATCACGTTATAAAAACCTAGATGTGGAATGATTGCAAAGGAGACAACTATCCAACCGACCAAACGATGAAGATTACTTACTTACTTAGGCCCTTGGCTCCTCCGGGGAGCATAGGCCATTGACAAACTCCCTCCATCTAACTCGATTTAGCGCCAGCTTTTCTAAAGTGTTCCAGTTGTATCCTTGCTGCTTTATTTCAATTTCTGTGTCCCTGCGCCAGGTGTTTCTTGGTTGTCCTCTGGTTTTTTTTCCCTGAGGGTTCCACTTAAGTGCCTGCCTTGTAATGCTGTTGTTGGTTTTCATTGATGAAGATGTAGGTCTTTAAAGGTCACAGTACAGCCTTCAACAATGAAAAAAAAACATACTGCATAGCTAGAATTTAAAGTCCCTAACATATAGATAAAATGTAAAACAATTCAAACGAGAAAACCAGTCATTGACTTTGTCTAGGAAAACAGCTATAAACAGATTATCAGTTGCAATGGTCTTTCAACCTCTAGGGTGTTCCCCATTTGAAACACCATCAATAATCTATAATTATCGCCCTGAATATGCGTTTAATTTGGCACTGAACATTAAATAGCCATCCATTATCATCATTCTTTATAAATACAGTGTAAAGGCAGTTGTTTAAAATTTATTAATGCAGTAATGCTACGATATACTTTGGTTTTGCAACTTGTCCGAAATTATTTTGCAAATTACAACTTTAAGTATAGACCTAGTTAGGCATTTACAAGTAGTCTGATTAATGTCCCAACTCCCAATATATATAGATTATTTATTGCCCTAGTATGTGTAAAAATCATTTAAAATTTTGCTTCATTACAGTTATGGGACTATGAGACCGGTGACTATGAGAGAACTTTGAAAGGCCATACAGATTCTGTACAAGACATAGCATTTGATAACACAGGAAAATACTTAGGTTAAAATATATATTTAAAAAATTGTAAAATATTGTTTTATTAACATTTTTTCAGTTAAAGCTGAAAACAATTAATGGCTTCATTTTCACACACTACCTTGTAATTAAAAAACAATCATCTCCTTGTTTTGTACACCTTGCTAATTACTTCAAAATTCTATAAGTTAAAGATAATTCTATCAGATATCAGTATTTGTGTTTTTGATTATATCTTAAGTATTTTCTTTATGACTCAGATTTCTTGCAAATACTCTCAAAAGCACTGCTTCGTTTTGAGATTTGGTGTACATATGTAGTTATGAACCACAACCTTTCCTATAAAAAGATATTTTTCTTCAAATTGTCTTAAAGATTTTAATGTGGATGAAATATCTGAATGGTTAGGGCTGATGCTCATGTCTAATTCCCCCTTTAACTATGTGAAAAATGGACAATTTAGGATTATTTTGGCATTTTTAGAGATATTATTCTTTTATTCTTCTTTCTTTATTATCTGAACAAGGGAGACAACTATTGTTTTTTTTTATTTCAGATACATGCTGCATATTTAAGACATGTTAGATGCAGTACAAGTCTTATTTTCTGATTATTGTATCATCAGCTTATCATATGATACTGTAGTCATCTATAGGATAAAATCTTATCGGATAAAGGGAAAAGTGAAAAATAAACTGTCAAATTGGACTACCAAAGGCTACTAACAATGACTAATGTTATGGATTTAAGAAATGACACTTGAAATGTATATTTTCAATAAATACTTTTTTTAATCCCATAGCATTGTTATTGTTACCTTAATTTGTTGTCACTTGTAAAACATTATGCTAAAATGACACCTAAATTTTTCATTGTTTATTTGTTTCTCTTACAGTATCATGCTCAGCCGACATGAAAATTAAGATATGGGACTTCACAACAGATTACGAATGTGTCAAAACATTATATGGTATGTATTAACAGCTATTGTCTTGCCTGTGCCTGTGACAATATGTGAATTTATATGTTTCATAATGCATTGAAATTTTGTAGTTTCATTTCAGATCATCGATATTTAGTCGTTTCACACTGATGCGGCAATTAAGCAGTTATCAATCAATAATACAATTGTTTCAGACAAGTTTCATTGGTTTGTTGGTCATTCACTATGGTAGAAGTTTTGTAGTATAATTGAAATGAGTTACATGATATTCACTGATGTTCAGTTGATCTTATTATATATTGTAAAATTTCAACATTTAGGCATTGCATTCGTATTTTTCAATTTTAACATTGTTGGAGTGGTACAATACTTATCTGTGACATTCTGGGAATGCGAAATTTCAGACTTTTTGAAAGTTTAAATATGTACATTAGAAAAATCAAAATTTTAAGACCTTATACTATTAATCAATTTAAACATATTTCATTTTAGTGGTCTATGTCTACTTAAAATAACATTTTATTTTTTAGGCCATGACCACAATATTTCCAGTTTAACATTTATGCCCAGTGGAGACTTCATAGTTTCGTGTTCCAGAGACAAAACAATCAAGATGTGGGAGATATCCTCAGGGTATGTTTTCATTTTAAGAAAAATTAGATTTTGTTTTTTGCACATGAAAACAACAATATTGTAAAACATGAAATGCTTTTTTCTTAAAAATTCTGATAGTTTAGCCAGTTTTTTCAAGGTAAAAGACATGCCAGTATAGGTTAGCCTATAAAACCGAACAATAGTGTAATAGCTTGTCATTAACCCACTGTCATGGTTTGCATCAGTATGCAAGACTATCATGACGTAGGATAGCTATAAAACACTATAAGATATACAGATATTTATATCAGGAGATAATGTTTCACTATTAAGATGTGGTGTGATTGCTATTGGGAATATAAGATAAATGCATAGACACCCTCTCTGTTACCACAACAATGAAACATGATTAAAAGTATCAGGAGATATTTGAAGAAGTATTCTGTTTGGTTTCACATGTATTATATATTGTCCCTGTCGTAACGCATTGCATGGGACATGGAAATACAGGGCGTCCGTCAGTCCGGTCTTGTTAGCGCTCTCACGTGTACAATTCTTGCCAGATTTTTATGAAATTTATATTATAGGTTTATATCATCAATGTACTTGAAGAGTTCAAAAATCAGTGCTGATCAATCATTTTTAAAAGAGTGATGCCCATTGAAAGTATTGATTATATGGAAAATTGCAATGTTATTGCTATCATGTGTTCAATTCTTGCCAGAATTTTATGAAACTTATATCATAGGTTTATATCAGCATGCCCCTTGGAAATATGAATTATAATGGAAATAACATTGCATTTGCTCTGAAGCCTTCATTTCTCTTAAGATATTAATAAAAAGTTTTAAAGAACAAAAAAAGTGCTTTTTTTAGTTATTGCCCTTGTACCTTGGATAGATAAAATATGTGCAATGCGGGGGACATTGGAACTCTTTTTCTTTTATATTATCAGGTACTGTGTGAAGACTTTTACTGGGCATAGAGAATGGGTGAGAATGGTACGAGTGTATCATGATGGATCCTTACTGGCTAGTTGTTCTAATGACCAGGTATGAATTTTTTTATGTTTGATATGGCTATATAACATAACCATGTACAGCTGCCATGTCTGCACCATTAGCCACTAGTCCAATGCCCCAGACTAGTAAGTATTTCCCAAACTGTTTAGACATATAAGAAAAGTGTTGGAATATTGGTCCTCAGGCTAGTACCTGGAAAAGATACAATATTTGGTTTTCTGTGTTAGTTTATCTTTGTTTTTTTTTACCATGTCTTTCTTTCGTTGAGTCATGATTTTTTTTTGTTCTTCTCTCCTTTATGTGTTTAGAATAGTAATAGATAATTAATTTAAAATATGTGCCTTGAAGAAGTTTTGATATTATTGCATCATGATACAATAGACATGAACTGAACAAATGCTTCTGAAAATGCAATAATAAAGTTCGATTTAGTTTGTTTTATACTGCAATGATTATTGACAGAATTAACTACTGATGTAGACATCTACATCTCTCTGTATCATATTATTCCTTAGTAAAAGTTTGACTTGTATTTGTGATCTGCATGTCAACCTTGATGCAGCAACCATGCTGAATTCCTGAAATAAAACAAAATGTATTCATTATATAATACAACAGTTAGTAGTTTAGTGAGATGAAAATCAGTATACCATTTAAAAAAGTTTATAAAACATATTTGATATATAAACACATGTTTATTTTGTTACAGACAGTACGTGTCTGGGTGACAGCAACCAAAGAATGTAAAGCCGAGTTACGAGAACATGAACATGTAGTGGAGTGTATAGCCTGGGCTCCTGAAACTGCACATCATGACATCAATGAAGCCGTTAACACAGATGTAAGTTCATCCATTGTATGCCATTAGATTGCCAATGTTTAACTCTATGATAGGATGAAGTCCTGTAATTTGATCATTTTCCACAAGATAAAACTTTTCATTCTGACAGCCATTATGAAAAAGAGTTGAAAACAAATTAGTTTTTTGTTTATTTTTCTTTCTAGATTAAGTCCTGATTATAAACAGTTTTTCTGCATTCAGTTTTGATGGAAAATAAAAATGGTTTTATTGAATATGGTAGATTTTGGTCTTCATATTTGATCTTTTAAGGCATAAAACCAAAATTTTAACTTGAAATTTGTTAAAATTCTAAACACAAAGAATTTATGAAATGGTTATTGGAATAAATGCCAATATTTAGACCCAGAACTTGATTTTTGTCTCGCTTGAAAGCGAGACATAGGGATTGCTTTTCTGGTGATGGCTGGGGTGGTGGCGTTAATAATTGTTAAGTTTTCTGCTGAAGTTAGTTTGATAGGAACTACTTGTGATAGATCTATGATATTTAATGTAAAGTTGCATTACTATCAGTACATCAACAGTTTGACGACTATTTCGAGGCCCTGCCCCCTAGGTCATGGTTGAGCAACTTTCAATTAACTAGCAATTTTCAATGAGACATATCTCTGTGTCAACAGTTTATTTGTAAAAATTCTAAAAATACATTAAGGTAGACCAGGTGTCTTTTCCTGAGCATCCCTTCTGGGCATGTTGCAAAAATACTTATTTGGTTTAAAATAATTTCCAAATATCATTCAGTACACAAAAAACATCTAAATTTAAAGATTAAACTATCAAAAAATTTAGTGTCATTAAGTGTATTTCAAATTTTCAGAAAAAAATACTTTTAAAATCAAGGGGAGGTAAATCTGAACCTGATAGGACAATTTGTGTATTTTGAATTTTTCAAGAAAATAAGGTCTGTGACCCCTTATTTTTTATTTGATATTTTGAAAGTATTAGTGAAAAGCAATTCTCTCATAGAATTTTAACCAATTCTTTCATTTATTGTTTCCTCAATAAAGAAAAAGTTTCCCCTGTATAACCCATATAAAATAACTCTGATTTCGTTAATTTCAATGTATTTTAAAGAAAAAACAAGGGTCATGAGTGACCTCCAGCAATTTAAATAAACAGAGAAAATTAGAAAAAAATAGAAAAATAAAAGACATAATGATAACTTTTATTACATCACAGTGATCTCATCATATTGTTAAAAAACAATGCATAAAACTTAATACTTATTGTTTTTATTTGTATGTCATTGCAAAATCTTCTACACTATGTTTTGATTTGTCTGAAATGGATGAAAACTCCACAGATATCATTCTTTCCATCAGCGATTTTGCTAGCGCTCGTCATTTTCGTCATTTACGAAACGGTTTTCAAAATGACGAAAGTATTTCAAATCAATTTCGTTACTTAAATTTATTTAAATGTTCATTTAGGTATCAATGATCTGTTGCCTTCAATGCAAACTCTGGCAAATCCAACAAATATCCACCAATACACATTTTTTCCTTCTATTCACAAAAATTGGTACAAATGAAATAAATGACTCTGCAGTAATTGTTAGGGCCCCGCCGAATGGCGGACGCCCTATAGTGATCAGTCCGTCCGTCCGTCTGTCAAATTGTGTCCGCTCTATATCTAGAGAACCGTTATGATTTCAAAGTTTATACTTGACATGTATATTAACCAACACCAGAGGGTGTGTCATAATGTATGTACAACTTCCTAGGTCAAAGGTCAAGGTAAAAAACTTTGGTTTTAGTTGACAACCCCATGTCCTATGCTAAAGATCTTGTCCACTCTATATCTTGAGAACCGTTATGATTTCAAAGTTTATACTTGACATGTATATAAACCAACACCAGAGGGTGTGTCATAATGTATGTACAACTTCCTAGGTCAAAGGTCAAGGTCAAAAACTTTGGTTTTAGTTGACAACCCCATGTCCAATGGTAAAGATCGTGTCCACTCTATATCTTTTGAACCGTTATGATTTCAATGTTTATACTTGACATGTATATAAACCAACACCAGAGGGTGTGTCATAATGTATGTACAACTTCCTAGGTCAAAGGTCAAGGTCAAAAACTGGTTTCAGTTGACAATCCCATGTCCTATGGTAAAGATCGTGTCCGCACTGTATCTTGAGAACCGTTATGATTTCAATGTTTATACTTGACATGTATATAAACCAACACCAGAGGGTGTGTCATAATGTATGTACAACTTCCTAGGTCAAAGGTCAAGGTCAAAAACTTTGGTTTTAGTTGACAACCCCATGTCCTATGGTAAAGATCGTGTCCGCTCTATATCTTGAGAACCGTTATGATTTCAATGTTTATACTTGACATGTATATAAACCAACACCAGAGGGTGTGTCTTAATTTATGTACAACTTCCTAGGTCAAAGGTCAAGGTCATAAACTTTGGTTTCAGTTGACAACCCCATTTCAATGATAAAGATACAAATTTTTTACCACACATTATTCACAGCGGGGCCCACAAAGATGGCTCCCATCTCAATGATATCTAGTTATTATTGTTATTGTATACACATCAAGAAATTTCTCATCAGTAATATAATTAAAAATTGATGCTTTTTCAGTCCAAAAAAGGCAAAGGAAATATGAGAAGTGGACCATTCTTGATTTCAGGATCAAGAGATAAGACTATCAAGATGTGGGACATAAGTGTAGGACTATGTCTGTTTACATTGGTAAGTATAGTAAGAATCCCATTTATATTTGTTTGTTTGTTTTGATATGATAAACAACGTTTTCATTATATTCTTAATTTTCACGGAAATCAGTAATAAATATTTTGTCAAGAACTGTCAAAAGCTTTTATGATTCTGTTAAATGAAGTTCACTTTGCTGTTGTTTATTTTTAAATGACCAGAAGAAGCTTGTGCTGTACTAATGATATGAGCTTTATGTTAGAGATGAAGTCAAGTTCTTGGATCACTGTGATAATGAGGCCTTAATTTATTTAGTACTTGTCAAGTGAAATATAGAAAGCCTGGTCAAGTTCATGAACACACTTCACAAAGTTCAACTGGTTCTTATATTGTTGATTTTTCCTGAATCATATATCCATTAAATATTTACGATATAAGGTTCAACTACAGTCAGAAATCTTTATCTCAAATGATGATATGTCGATACTAATGATAACACTTTTTTTTTTAAGAATCGGACCAAAAGAATACAAAAATGACAAATGATAAAAAACCAATTAACATAATTGAGCAGTAAATGATGTATTCTTACATCATGTACATTCATTTCACATTAATCTGACAATTGAAAACACTTCATAGACTGGGACATTTCAGTATAAATTTCCATCAGTTGTAATCTTAACCTGTTTGTAAAATTAGTCCATATTTTTTTCTTCTGTGATTTATGGATATGATTTACTGTTAACTATTTTTTTTGTAAACTGCATCAACTGTTTTTTCTGCTTCTAAAATAGTTATATATGAAAAAATAGCCTGTGTTTAGGAGTGCTGTAAAGTTTTAAATGTTTATTTAAGTACAGTTAATTTTGTTATCCCATACTTCCATACTTTTACTACTTTTACAGATAGGACATGACAATTGGGTAAGAGGACTGATATTCCACCCTGGAGGGAAATATATTCTTAGTGCTTCTGATGACAAGACATTACGCGTGTGGGACATCAAAAACAGAAGGAATCACAAAACACTGGAAGCTCACACACACTTCGTTACATCCATAGGTATGATCATAATGCATTTTTAAGCTAACACACACTTAATTACATTTCCAAATAAGTTCATAAAATACAGGAAGGTGGCACACACTTGATTTAATCTCCAAGTAAGTTCACAAAACACAGGAAGTTCACACACACTTGATTTAATCCCCAAGAAAGTTCACAAAGCACAGGAAGCTTACACCCACTTAGTTTAATCCCCAAGTAAGTTCACAAAACACAGGAAGCTCACACACACTTGATTTAATCCCCAAGTAAGTTCACAAAACAGGTAGCTCACACACACTTGATTTAATCCCCAAGTAAGTTCACAAAACTACAGGAAAGTCACAAACACACTTGATTTAATCCCCAAGTAAGTTCACAAAACACAGGAAAGTCACGAACACTTGATTTAATCCCCAAGTAAGTTCACAAAACACAGGAAAGTCACATACACTTGATTAAATCCCCAAGTAAGTTCACAAAACACACTAAGCTCATTCACACCTCATTATTTCTCAAGATAAGTATTCAATTAAAGGATGTCAAAACAAAGAATACTCTTACACTTTATTATTGTCACAAAACATAAAAAGTATTCACTTCATCAACATCTATAGTGAAGTACACAGCAATCAGTAAAGATTAACAAGACACTTGAAGTGCTCACCTTTTAAATTTCTAGCTAAGAAAAAGGTTTAGAGAGTCCGATTTAGAAAGAAATTGATGCAGACAGATATTAAAGTATGACGTTGCTACCTGGTACCGGAAGTCATTGCCTAATATTTTCGAGTATCAATTCCTGTCCATCATCTAGAAAAATGTTAAGCAGCAAGATCAAAGTTAAAATGAAAAAAATGCTGATAACTTCTTACCATTTGAAATAAAAGGAATTACTCAGTTTATATTTTTATACGCCCGTCAAATTTTTGACAAGACGTATTATGGTATACAAATGTCCGGCGTCCGTCCGTCTGTCTGTCCGTCTGTCTGTCCGGCGTAAACATGTCGCACCGTAACTTGAAAATGACTTATCCAAATTTCATGAAACTAAACATAGTTGTTTCTTATGATGGTCAAACGATCCGTATACTTTTTTGTGAAAATAAGATTAAAACTTTTTGAGTTACGGGACTTAGTAACTAAAACAGGTGTGTTTTTTTTTTCACATGTCGCGCCGTATCTCAAAAACAATTTATGATTATTGCTTAAAACTTTACACACTTCTTAGATATATTAACCTTAAGATCTGTATACTCTTTGGTGATGATTCAAAATTTTATTTTTGAGTTATTGAGTATTTTGTAAAAAAAGGGGGAGGGGTTTTTCACATGTCGCGCCGTATCTCAAAAACGATTTATGATTATTGCTTAAAATTTTACACACTTCTTAGTTATATTAATCTAAAGATCTGAATCCTTTTCAGTTTTGATTAAAAATTTTATTTTTGAGATATTGATATTTTTTTGTTTTTAAAAGGGGGGGGTTTTCACATGTCGCACCGTATCTCAAAAACGATTTATGATTATTGCTTAAAATTTTACAAACTTCTTAGTTATATTAATCTAAAGATCTGTATACTTTTTGGTTTTGATTCAAAATTTTATTTTAGAGATATTGAGTTTTTTGTAAAAAAAAAAAGGGGGTTTTCACATGTCACGCCGTATGTCAGAAACTATTTATGTTTATTGCATAAAAATTCACACACAAGCGACGGGCGTAACATGTGCTCATGGCGCAGCTGTTTATTATTGTATTTTATACAATTTAGATTAAAATGATATAATAATTTTCTATACAATAATCTGTTGTTACAATACACTGTGGATTCATTTATTTTGGTGGGTACCAATCTTCATGGGTTGAGGAAAACTTGCGTTTTCATGGATATTTGATTTCGTTGTTTTGCGAAAGGGTGCATAAAGGCCTATAGAAATTTGAATTTCATTGAACATTTAAACTCATGGTTCACCTTTGCCCAGGAAATTCACAAAAATTGGTATCCAATGTATAATATGAATCCACAGCACGTATGAAAACAAAACAATGCAAATATGTTAGACAAATTAAGTGTGCACACTTTGTAATGATTTATTTTTGTATATATATATGGTTTCAATAGATTTCACAAACATTGGAAGATATAAGAAAAAATATTTCTGAACAATAAAGTCATACCAGAAATAACTGGAAAAAATTAATAATTGGTGGGTTCAATAATTGAAAACTTTATTCTGTCAGTAGTTAGGGTTTAGGCAATGCTTTAAGATCATTAGACAGTAAATTATGATACTTTCTTTATCAATTTATTATGCTTGAAGAATTTTTCATATGATCAGTACACTGAATCAAATATTTTATTTGAAAATTGCAAGTTTTTTTCTTACAGATTATATAATTTTGTTTATATCTTTCCAGACATGCACAAATCATCTCCATATGTGATTACTGGTTCAGTAGACCAAAGTGTCAAAGTATGGGAATGTCGTTAACGTCACCAATATTTAGTCTACAAATTTTAGAGACAACACCAATTAACCAGCTGTTCCACTCGGGCACTAAACGTGCCAATTATTATGTGATGTTTGTGAAGTTACAGCTCTGCGTTGTTTTCATGAAACATTAACCAATTGATGTGTCGTTGCTAACTTATTTCATCTTGACATTGCTGACATGTTTACCAGCTCGTGCAGACATGGTTTTCTGCAGTGCAATCATCCAAATGTATTACTGTTGATCAGAATGCATTCTTCACTTTAAATGCTCGCTTCCAGTGCAAGTGTTGTCTTTTAAAAACTATTGAATTATATGAATGATTACATAAATTCAATTAATGGTTGCTGTGGAGATGTACAAAAATGGCAACTGATGGAATGGACAGAAATTTGCAGTTGCTAAAGGCACATATTCAGACAAGAAATAGTATAAGATGCATATTTATTTAGAATATTTTTTTTAATTAATCAATTTGATTCAATAGAATTTTAATGTATAATTATTATAGATGTTGGTCACAGGTTAAATTATATCTATATTCTTGATCATAGAGCTTGGGTTGGATGGAATGCACATTTGGGAAATATACATTACATACTTTTTAACTATACTTGAATGAACATGGAATTCTCTAATTTCATAGTTCTTATATAATAGAAGCACCAGTGGCAAAGCAGTTTATAGTAACAAAAGAATGATTGAAGTGGTTGACATCATACATGTTCATGATGGCAGATGTCATGAATAGTAAAAGTTAAAATATAAACCGAGTTATTTTTCTCTTTATAAGACAAAAACTAAATAATTCAGATAATGTGATTGATAATGATATCAATTTTGACATCAGTTCAGTTAAAGAAGAAATATCAATGACAGTGATACTTCACATATTTGACTTGATAAGTACAAATTGATCAATTTGTTTTATTCTGTAAAATTATCGAAATTTTAAATCCAAGAATCCACAAGTAGATTTATTTTCGAAACACTGAGGTCTCATGCATAATGCTCCATCTTTCACCTTTTCTTGTACTGTCTTTCTTACTTTTTTTATTTAGTCATAAGCACTGCCTTCTATTATAACATATTCTGTGTTAATACTTTGTAAAAAGACCAGACATTCATTTAAAATTGTTTGTGTTTGTTCACATTAAAATTGAAATTAAAATGGAATCACATTTTGTTGTATTAAACTATAAATCAGATAAAATTGTTTTGAAATATATAAATTAAAAGGTTATTATTGAATTTCAGGTATTGTGAAGTATTACAGATACACTTGTGATATAATACACACAAAATTGCAATCTATTTATAGCTTTTGAAGAGTTTAAAATGTATCAGACTGATGATCCTGTGATGGTTATTTTGTTCAAGGATTGTTCTAAATGTAAAGTCAATTCTGATGTGTTCACTTCTGATGAGAAAACTATTTTTTTTTAATCTTGAAAAATCTACAGTGTATGCAATAATTAACATGCAAATGGAAGTCAACATGGAATGGGATATCATGCTGTTGAATATTTTTGTTAATGCATCCATAGTCAACACAAACTTGCCATTTCACATATTATGTTGTAGTTATTATATCAATATTAATTTATTATTTTGTTTTCACTGTTATTTCAGAGTATTTTCATAACTGAACTCTTGATATTAATATTCGATATTGAACTGTGAACCTAGAAAAAAAAAATTCTTGAATTTTCTTTCTGATCACAGTTCAATAATATTGTGTATCACAATAGCATAATGGAAGACTTTCTGCATACTTTTGCTCACAGTATCACATAAACCTTTAAAATATACTGTGTATACCTGAATGATATTAATAATGATTTTGTTCATTTACATAGCAAAACATTTACTAGTTTACAAAGTTCATAAAGATAAGTATTTGTTTTGCTATGATGTGTTAAAACTTTTTTCCTTATGTTTTAAATAAATTTTATTTTGTTGTTTATAAAATGAAAATCTATGAATTGTTGGTTATAAAAATTAACAAAACAACAAACTTATCAATTCTCAATATTTTTGGCAGGTTGCATTTATGATTGAATCTCAGGTTGAAAAAAAGTTTTCATTTTTGTGCAATTTGGGTTGTTAATTTATGATTTGATTCCCTTAGAATAGTAAAAATGTATAAGACGATTTTTTTTTAAACCACCAGGTTTACACATTTACAAGCTGTTCTGTGATATTACTTTCTAATCTCATCAGATTTGTTGATTTCATTTTTCCCCATTAACAAATTATACACGTAGTGCTATTTGAAGACAAAGGATTTTCTAGTCAAATAGTCCCCCATTACTAATTATGTTTTTTTGCAGCCTAGCTGCTTGTTTTAATTATGCATTGATAAAACCACAATGTGCCAAGAACCATTTTAATGTTGTTCAACCATTTGTTATATAATAAAATGTTTCTATTTGTCAGAAATATTTTCTGCCGATTCTTTTGTGTTGTGACTATTCCTGCATATCTCTATGAAGTCCATGTAGGTCATCTTATTACTCGAAAATCTTGTGCGTAAATTCAACAGGTCATATAACAAGACAGATCCCAAATGGCGCCCATTTTACCATGACAAATGATTACTTATTTCAACTAAAGATTCATCAAATGCTATCTCCAAAATGAAAGAGACAAATAATTTTCATATGATTAATGATAAAATCAAAAATCAATATTTTGTACACTGTTGTATATCATTGTTGGAAGATGAAAGAGTAATTTTGACTGAATGTAGTTCAAATGTATTTGTTTACATTAATTAGTACCAAATAAATTTTTGAAAAAAGAATGTTCTTATATTGTAAAGGCATCATGATGCAAGTTTCGAAAAGGGAGGTTCATGTCTCTCTTTAACATCATTGAACCATGATGCCAGATTCAATATAAGGGCACACAAACTGTTTTGAACAGATCAAGAAAATGGTGTATTCTCAGAACATCTTAATACCATTGTTAAAATTATAACTTCCTGGTTTTATTGTTCATTTTACATGGAAAAAACTTGATGCCAAATTTTCAGTAATTATAAAAGTCTTGTTTTTATTTCGATTCACTTGAGTATGCTGTAAACATTCAAATTACAGAAAACTTCAGTAGATTATTTCTCATTAAATGTGAGAGCACAGAAAGTGGATGTATGAAATTGCTTGAAAATTGGCATGTATATAATTTGCAGAAAAACCCTTCTTTTCACTTTTATCTATCAATTCCATAAGCTATTTTATGGTATATGATAGAACCGAAAACAGGGAGTTTTCTTGCAAGGTGTAAACATTTCTATTCACACTTTATAAAGAATAATAGATGTTTAAAAAAAAAAAACAACATGCATATTGTTCATTATTAGATTTAAAAAAAAGTTGTAAAAAAATATTAAAAAAAATTGTTGAAAAAATACATTGAAAATAAAGTGTGTAAAATTGATTGCTATAAATAGCTAATTTATGCATGTATTTTTGTAAGTGCTATAGTGGGATAAAGGAAGGAGATAAATCATATAGTATTATTAGTCATTGACCAAAGATAAACAAGCTGTATCAGGTCAGGGAAGTTGTTCGATAAATCGGCTTAAATGTCAACTTGAGTAGGTTATCTACCCTTTAAAATTTGCAGGATGATTATTTCCTTTTACCAGGGATAAAAGCATTTAATAAAAGCAAACTATCTTCCAAATGATTAAGCCTGCTATGTTATTAGAATACAAAATCATTCCTTAAATGGCATTGAAGCAGCTTGTCTGTCTTTCATCATCAGAAAGGCTTGTGTATCTTCGTAGCTTTGTTTCAAAGATTTTAAATTTGATCTGATTGTTATGTCTGTCAAATAAATAATATATCCATCAGATTTAGCTGTTGATTGTATTCCTTACCATCTTGCATTTATTGGAAAAGATTCAGTTGTCAATCTTATGCCTTGCAGCTTTTTAATATACTGTGGATTCATTTATCTTTTCTTGTGTACCAATTTTTGTTGAATAAGGAAAAATTGTATTTTAGTTTATCAGATTTCACAGTTTTGATAAGGTTTACATATAGCCTATAGAAAACTTTTATTCGTTGAATGTTTCATGATTCCTAATAACAGAATATCAACAAAAAATGGTATCCCATGAATAATGATAAATCCAAAGTATTGCAAACATAGAATTAGAAAAAAAAATCAATTTTTTATAGCATTATTACAGCTGTTTAGATGATTAAAAAAATGATAACATATAAAAAGAAGCTATGTCAGTTGCCAAGAACTTTATGGGCAACACAAACCAGTATGAACTGATAAAACAACATATTAATGGAAGACAAAACCAATTACATGCATACAGTCCATTTAATGTATCTAAAGTATTTACCTGAAGTAAATTCATGTTTATTATTAATGAACCTAAGAATTATATATTGTAAATTAAAAAATTGCAAGGTTTTTATTACTGTAAATTCAGAAATTATTGCATGCATTTATTGTTGAGATTTTTGAAGAATGGACACAAATGCGAGACTAATTATTGTGATTTCAGGAAAATCTGCATACTGATGTATTTATCAGATATCTGAATGCGAGTTCTAATTAATGCGAAACTCACCTAGTCGCATTATTCGCATTAATAAAAACCTCGCAATAATTTCTGAATTTACAGTAATGTGAATTAGTTGCAACTTGATGAGTATTGCAATAATAAAAGCTTGTATTCTTCATTCATTTCTATATATGTAAGCAAATTTTTTTGAAATCACAATTAATATTGCATTTTCCTCCTATTTTTGGAAAATCACAATAATAAATGCACTCAATAATTTCTGAATTTAAAAAAAAATTAGAGCTTAATTCATAGATCTTGTTTACATTCATAATTTGATGCCCAATGACCAAAGTAATTAGATAAGGTTGCAAAACCTTATCATTCTACTCTACTTAAGTTTGAATTTTAATTTAAATTCTTAAAGATTTATATTTACCTGTTTTAGGAATTTTATATAACTGATTTAAAAAAATGCACAAAACACAATTAATTTCATGCGTCCCATAAGATTTCAAGATTTACCTTAATCAGGAATGCTCAAAGATGAATATTTGAAAGCAAAGGATAAATAAGAGCCGAAACAGTTGGAAGAGCTATATGACCAAAAATGACCTATAACTAATAGCCAAATATATCTAAGGTAAACTTTAATCAGGGAGTTGAAACCATATAAAGGAGATGATATTAAGCTGCATACCACCAAAGGAAAGTATCATGGCCTGAAGTAGCTGCTTCATTGATTTCGGATTTTTTAAAACCAGTAAATCTATAAAAAAAGGTGACCTTTAAAAAGAGAGGCGAAAGATACCAGAGAGACATTCAAACTCATAAATTGTGGATTTGTTTATTTTCATAGATTGAAGTTAACTTGTAATTTGGAGAATATTTGATTTCATAATTTTTCGAAAGTAAGCATACACGGCAATGGAAAATAAGCTATGTTAAAACAATGATGTTAGTGGCAAACCTTTACCAACTCAATCTACCAAAGTTGGATCTCAGCATTAATAATGAATCCACAGTATATAACTAAATGCTGTGATGCATGTTTATAATTGTCATAACTACCTACCATAAAAATAGGTATTTTTTTTAAAAGTATAAAAATATTTACAAAATACTAAACTCAGATGTAAATTAGAATGGGACAGGCCTTAAAACTTGACAAAATCAAATGCAAGACTTTCTCAATGGATCCAATGGAAAACCATGTATTCCTGACAGGCAGTTTCGAAGAAGTGATTGGTGAAACCTGATTTTATGGCTAGCGAAACTTCCCACTTGCATGAGTAGTTTAAAATTGCATGATTTTGGCAAAGACTGGTTATAATACAACACCAACCGACATGATTGATAAATGTGACAATAGTAGGGATCCAAAAACCAAAACTAATAATACATTTTAAACATACAACACAACTGACTAAAGAGTTCAAACAAATATACAAATAAAAAAGGTGATAGCTTTCATGTGGTATATCAGAAATCTGACACAAACATCAACAAAAACAGTTTTAGTAGTTTATAGCAGATACAGTATAACCGATAAATTAAACAAAAATGACAACAAAACAAGTGTTTTAAATTGATAGAACATACACCATAATAAAACATACTGGTCTACATCTTATTAGTTCTCTATCGACGAAGTCTAAGGGGACTTTAGGTTTGCACTCTGTCTGTCCGTCTGTCCACCGTCAGTCCGGCAAATCAGCTTTCCACACTTTTTTTCTTCGTTCTTGAAGATATTGATTTGATATTTGGTATATAGTTTTGCCATGACAAGTTATAGATCAACTTCGAATTTTGTTCCAGTCTGATAATTTAGTCCAGAGTTATGGACCATAAATCTGGACCATATCTAATGTTAGAGTACTATGTTAAACCATATTTCTGTACAAAGGGAGATAACTCATTTTTTAAAAGACATTCTTTGGTACATTATTTGAATAATTTTTTGGCAGGTTTGTTTGTTATTTTGTATAAACTAATTATACCCCCCGCTTTAAAAAAAGGGGGGGGGGGGTATACTATTTTACCTTTGTCTGTCCTTCCGTCAGTCCATCCATCAGTCCGTCAGTCCATCCGTCTGTCCCATGAATATTTTCGTCACATTTTTCTCAGGAACTATTTGACAAGGATTTCTGAAATTTGGTTTCAGGGTTTATATAAGTAAGTAATACTGTGTGATGCGTTATCAGATTCATCACTCAACAACTTCCTGTTTACCGAACACTTGTATTATTTTACACATGATAGCCAAGTTGAAAATTTTCGTCACATTTTTCTCAGGAACTACTTGACAAGGATTTCTGAAATTTGGTTTCAGGGTTTATATAAGTCAGCTATACCGTGTGATGCGTTTTCAGATTCATCACTCAACAACTTCCCGTTTACCGAAATATTTCGGCGGGGGTATCATCAGTGAGCAGATGCTCACAGTTTTACTTGTTTTCTGAATGCTATATATATATAAAAAAAATATGAAGTGAAATCCTTTAATTAGATAATAATCTATTTTTAATAATGTATATATTACATTACATTGTGTAGATAAAAATTGATGACATTTTTTAGATAAGTTTCAAATCTATATTACTTTGTGACAAATAAAAGAAAAAATATTTGGAACTATTAATTATATTTGATTATAATTTGAAAATAGATATACACTGTATTACATCATATCTAATTTTAGAGAACTATTAATCGTATCTAATGTTAAAGTGTTTTCCACACTTTTTTTCATCATGATTGAAGATATTGATTGATAACTGGTATATAGTTTTATCATGACAAGTTATACAGATCAAGTTCGAAATTTTGTTTTGGTCTGATAATTTTGTGCAGAGTTATGGTCCTTGGACTTGAAAAATTCACTCATTTAATCAGTTTTTCACACTGTTTATAGTCATGCTTGAAGATATTGACTTGATATTTTCTTTTTGTTTACACCATGACAAGTTATAGAACAAGTTAGCTTTTTGTTCCTGTATAATGAATTTTTACCCGGTAGGGGACTATGTATTGCCATGCAATACTCTCAGAATGCTTGTTTTTTTTTATAAATATACACTTTCCCAATAAAGTACAAACATAGCAAATTTAATTACAAGGATATGCAAAATGAAAACAACACCATAAAACCCCAAGCTTCCGAATCAACTCTGGGAGTATGTTTTACGCTTGAAAACTTCCATGACTGATTATTAAAATTAAATTTCATTTTTGCAAGTATTGATAAATTACTGTAACTTGTAAAATCACATTTCTTTTTGAAACATTATTCGATCAAAGAAAGAAGGATGTTTGAAGGAGTATGTTCCTTGTTAGATATTAATCTATTTAACCACGTTTCGATCAATTATCTCAATAAAAAAATCTTTTATAAACATCAATTATGCAGAAAGCATGTGGCCATTTAATTGATAAGATTGACCATATTTTGATGGATTTTGATATCTTAATTTTGAGAACTTTTGTTGTTAACATGGAATCACAGTTTAATTGGCTATTTCCTCATCTCTTTTTGTCATTTATTTTAAGGACAGCTGACTGTATTTCAGTTAGATTGATGGACATAAACCATCTTCTTGCTATCAGCCATTTTGGGTCATATTATTGGCTTTTACAGAATGTTTGAAGCCATGTTTCCTCATCTGATACAAGTTCAGGGTGTGCTTTTATTTAATAAAATGTTGGTTTAATAAATTGCTCTAAAAATAGAACATACTGCACATAAAATAGTTGGCAATTATATACATTAATAAGTTGAGCAAAGCTCCAATGACTAAGAAACATCATGCATCTTATATGAGGAAATGGTTTTGGGCATGACTTTTGTCCAGCTGCAACGATTGGTGCAAAATGTAAGACACTTACCCAGGGAGGCGTGACAATAATTGTTTCCTAAAGCTTAAGAAGGAAGACGGTGTCATATGGTATTTTGAACCCCATGGTAAATTGACCCCGGGGTCAAAATACCGCTATGGTAAATTGAACCCCCCATGGTAAATTGAACACCCCCCCCCCCCTGTATGGAAAATTGACCCCCATGGTAAATTGAACCCCCCTGTTTTTTTCATTCTAGATGAACACTATTAGAACATTATACATTATTCTAAAGCTTATCATAGATTAAAAATCATTCATACAATAAGAGGAGGTCAATTTTCCATGATTGGTTAAAAGAAATATCTTAAATTTGCTTGGTATAAGTGCTCTGAAGTTTTTACCAACAAAATTTCATTCAAAATACTTATTTAAGCATTATTACTAGACCATGTAGCTTGAAGGCTTAAATTATTTTAAATTAAAACATATATAT